GCCTAAAGGTTCAGGGTGTCGTTAAAGTCAGCTCCAGAACTCAACCAGCGCTCACCTTACCAGCCCACTCTGCCACCCTCCCAGCCCACTCTGCCACCCTCACAGCTCACTCTGCCACCCTCCCAGCCCACTCTGCCACCCTTACAGCTCATTCTGCCACCTTTACAGCCAGGTCACTTTACCACCCTCACAGCTCAATCCACCTCCCTCCCAGCCCACTCCACCACACTCACAGCCCACTCCACCATCCTGCCTGCCAACTCCACCACCCTCACAGCTCACTTCACCACCCTCACAGCTCACTTCACCACCCTCCCAGCCCACTCCACCATCCTGCCTGTCAATAGACCAATTGGACGTTAGTACAGTGATAGAAGAATTGGACGTTAGTACAGTCAGGGACAGGGCTGACAAGGAAGGTATAAAAACTTTAATTGTTGGTGACTCACAGATAAGGTACTTGGACAGGGCTTTTTGTGGTAAAAACAAAAATAGGATGAGGGTGTGTTTGCCAGGAGCTGAGGTGGGGGATATAATTGACAGGATGGACAATATCTTGTCTGGTAATGGGAACAAACCCATTATCTGCCTCAGTGCAGGAGGCAATGATATTGGCCGGTGTAGGAGCGAGGAGCTTCTTGATAAGTTCAGGGCAGCGATAGATCGTGTTAGGACTAGGGGAGGGATCCCAATCATATGCGGTGTCCTGCCTAAAAGGAGAGTTGGCAGTGAATGGTTGTCAAGGGCGGTTGGTGTCAACGACCGTCTTGACAGATATTGCAAGTCAATATCAGTCCCATTCATTGACAACTGGGACAACTTCTACGGCACAAGGGACATTTATGCTAGGGATGGGGTGCACCTGTCTAGGGATGGGGTGGCAACCCTGGCTGGGTCTCTCGAGAGGGCAGTTCAAAGGATATCGAAGCCTTTAAACTGCTAAGGGAACATATGGGCACGGGGGTGGAGGAGACTGCAGTGGGAGCGGGTAAACAAAGTGAAAGATTACAGGGAAATAGTGTTAGGAATGATGACAAAACTAAATTAGACAGGGAGTTAAAACCTAAACTCGGTAAAGAGAGGACTCAGAACACGACTAATTTAAATGTCTACTACGTGAACAGTAGAAGTATGAGAAACAAAATGGATGATGTTAGGGCCTTGGTATGTACCGAAAAAATCGTTATAATAGCATTCACTGAAACATGGATCAACCTAGACTCACGTGAGTTACCTGTCGAATACCAAATTGCGGGTTACAAATTGTTCCATACCGATAGGCAGACCAGGAAAGGAGGCGGGGTAGCAATCTTTGTCAGGGATAATCTGAAGTGTGAAATAAATAAGGAAATAAAAACTGAGCAGAAGACAGAAACAATTTGGATAGAATTAATCGATGGTAGGGAAAAATTAATCATAGGAGTAATATATAGACCTCCCAACCTTGATAGAGTTAATGAGCGACTTATCTGGGATGAAATGCGCAGGGCTTCCATACACAACAAAGTTTGTATAGTAGGCGATTTTAACCTTGGCCAAATAGATTGGACTGACCTTATGGGTAACTTAGTATCAGAGGATTTCCTCGAAACGATCCAGGACTGTTTCCTAAGTCAACATATAACCGAACCCACCCGGGGTAATAATATACTCGATTTAGTTCTGTCGAACAGAAAAAACCTCATTAGCAATGACGAGGTAGGGAACGAACTTGCAAACAGCGATCACAAATAAATTCGATTCCAGTTAGATTTTCAGGGCAGACATAAGGAAAATTCCATTAAAGTCCCAGATTTCAGAAGGGCAAACTTTGATAGTTTAAAGAGGCAGCTGAGAGAGGGGGTGTCGCGCTTGGGCGTGAACCTGACAGATGACACCGACCTGATAACGAGATCTGAGATTGTCGAGTTCCACGACAATTTAAATAATGAGTTACTTAATGCACAAGGGCAGAACATACCATACAAAAAACTCAGATCAGACAACAATGACCCTAAATGGATAAATAATTATTTAAAGAACATTATTGGCCAAAGGAATGCTATAGGTAGAAGGATAATCCGTGGCGAAATTTACCTCCGGGAGTATTATAAGGTATTGGCCGGTAGGGTTAAGACCGAGATAAGAAAAGCAAAGAGGAATAATGAACTGAAGATAGCAAGGGAGGCGAAGACAAACCCCAGATGATTCTATCAAATGTAAAAAACTAAAACACGAGATAAGATTGGACCAATACGTTCAGATACCGGCGAGGTAACTGATAACGACGGAGAAAAGAGCAATAATCTGAATAAATATTTTTCAACAGTTTTCACCACCGAAAATTTAAACATGATACCCGAGGCACCGACTCTATTCAGAGATAGTGAAGAAAACAAATTAATTGAGATAGTAGTGACTAGTAACGATGTTAGTAAGCAAATAGACAAACTGAAGCCTAATAAGTCACCTGGTCCCGATGAGATATTTGCCAGAGTATTAAAGGAATGTAAGGAAGAGC